ACGGGGGGGGGGGGGGGGAACTAAGGACGAGATCCAAAGAGGATTAAACCCAATAATCAAATGATGATCTCATTACGGATAAATAAAGAGAATTAAATAAAGTAGTGTGATTATATGGGAGCGAGAGAGGGCGGACCACATCGCCCCCCAATTCTCTGTCTTCTCTTCGCGCGTCCGTCCCTCTCTTGATCTCGCCAAGGTAGAAAGACTACTCTTCGGTACGTGGCTTGTAGATAACGCGATTTCCCGACCGGTAGCAATTCTTGTTCAAGATTTTTTTAACGACGCCGCGCCACGACGATGTTTCGCGCGAAGCTCGTTTATCGAATATATATATATATATATTTCCTTGAAAAACGACAAAGAAGGTTTTTAATTTTGACAATGTCACGGGCCTAACTAATAGATATGTCTTATCTGAATTACAATCGATTCACAGTTTGTTATAATACAATCGATCGGCCTCGCCAAACATCTACGGTGCGCGTGCGGAATGTATGTATATAAAGAGACGTCGAGAGGGACGACGATTCCAAAAAATGTTAAGAGGATAGGGGACGACGAACGAGGACGTAAGGTGGAGATAGGGGAGCAAACTTGTATATGCATAGAGGATTTATCTAAAGTAAATAAAAACTCAGTAATAAGTCGATGTTATAATAATTAAAGTAGATAATCGATAGGCCGAGGATCGCAGCATCTTGATTGGCTAGCTGCGACTCCCGTGGACAGTTTTCAAATGATCTCCGGTAGCTTAGCTATTAGTAGGCACCCTCGTGACATGCGAGATGCCTTTCGCGGCACATCGGAAGGAATATATCTCCTTCTTTCCCCTGTGCCCTTTCTAACTTCTATTTTCTCTTTCCTTCTTTCCCGTTTCTATCTTCTTTCTTCTATCGACAAAAACTGTCTATCGATTCTCTTGCTCTAACTCACCAATCCTCAATCTTCTAAGAAGATCCCCTCCGTTTCACTTCCCTGCTTCGCAATTCCATATTTATCGACGACAGTTCTTTACTGTTCTGTTGTGCGCGACGTAACGTAACGTAACGTAACGTAACGTGATCTCTGATCTCGAGACTTAGTGTGTATTGGTAAGAATCATGTGTTGTGTTCGCTTGACGATTCAGAGTCTCAATTTTCATGGGCGAGCAGGCCCAAGCCTTCTCGTTTCGCGATTTCTCTTAGGATTCTAGATAGGAAGGGCTAGCCTAACGAGTGAGGGGATGGGAACAATGTATCCTTGGGCTTTCTCGTTTGGTTTTAAACTATCGAGACCAAAACTATATCGAGGCTGCTGTACAGTCGTCCCTGCGGGCCACGCTTTCTCTTCTCCCCGAGTGTAAGTCTATTGCGTTTTCCTTTGTCTCCCTATTGATAGGACGATCGTGACGTTACTCCGTCAAAGTATTCCAGTGTATAGGTCTATAGTATTTATTTGTAGGCGATACCATTTTTCTACCGTCTGATAGAGCCGCGTTTTGAGATAAATATATACGCGGAATACACACACACACGCGCGCGCGCGCGCGCGTGTGTGTGTGTATTACCGCCACTTCGAGATAAGCAAATCCTCGCCAGACGCTTCTAAACGGGAGCGATTTTGTGGAAAGTCAATAACGTCGGTGTCCGTAACACGTAATTTCTAAAGATGAAAATAGTTAGAGTCATTTTGAAACAGAGATATTTAAAAAAAAATAAAAGTATTTGATACGCGCTGTAAGGAAAGCATTATACACGGCGAAAAAGCTAACGCGTTATTCTAATCTCATTACGCGCGGATTGTAGAGTCTTCGTATTTTCACATTCTATAGCGCTTTATTCTGTCGTACTTTCGCGAGCCAATTTCTCATTGTCAGGAACTCGGATTGTCAGTTCCGCTAAACGCGAGTCACCATTAAATCTAGCACATGTTGAAATTATCATCGTACAACGCATACGTATTATTTTATTTCGTAAAATTCAATTACCATCTAAAAAAAAATGCATTTATCAAATTTCCATCCGCGAATATATTTTAATGTGCAGTAAATAATAATTAACTGTTTTTTTTAAACATTCGTTAAACATTTATCGAAAAATGGTCGCATATTTTTGTGGAAAACGTAATAAATATTAAATTCAAAATTTTATGAATTAAATTCTAAAAATGAGATTAATTTTAATTGAACGGTATTTACAATTTCAACAGAAATTTTTGTCATATTCGTCCGAAATTTTTGGTTTTCACAATTAGTAAGCTAAAATTTGATTAAACTGCCAAAATTTGAACAATATTCGCGGTAATTAAACATAAAACTTGCCAATTAATAAAAATATTAACGATCGTCGCGAGAAATTTTATCGCGTGAAATTTAACGGTGACTCGCGTTTTACAGTTGGTAGAATTTCCAATCATCGATCGGGTTTCCTATGTGCAGCTTGCTCCTTTCACGGAGAGAGCACGCAAAGGTACAATATTATCATGTTATACACATTTAATATAGCTAGCGTTCTCGTTATATCGTCGAGCCACGAGCTAAGAGAGATAACTCTTTCTCGATGGAGGTTGTTGCATTGCATTCCGACCAAAGGGAAAATTCCCGTTTTCCTGCAGCGCGGTAAAACGAGCCTAAAAGAAAGGTCGCGGCCATTTAATCCTTTTACTTCATAGATAGGGAAAGGCAGAGCGAATTCGCGAGCCCCCGCCGTTTATGGCCCGGGGGCGGATATATACACGCAATATAATATATATGTGTGTGCGCGCGCGCGCGCGTGTGTGTGTGTGTGTGTGTGTGGGTGTGGATGTGGATGTCGGAGGAAAATTGAAAGTGAGAAAACACGGCGCATGTACATAGTCGCTTCTCTTCAGAGCCGTAAATGCAGTAATGAACTACGATTTCTTTCCCGGTATATTTCTTTTTTTTTTTTTACCTTTTTTGTTCATTTTTTTAGAATTAATTGCTCTGTAGAAGCACTTAGATAGTAGTCAGCCATATTGAGAGTATAATAATGATATATGGATAAACATATATAAAAGTATATATATATATAAAATATATATATATTTTAAATGGTATAGTTGGGATATTACTGTTTCGAGAGATAACCGGAAAGAAACGTATATTTCGAAGGGGCGCGAGCCCGGAGAAAGTATGGCAGAGAGGTGATGTTAAGGGTAGTGGAGACGATGGTTCATCGGAGATTGATAGAGGTGTTGATGGATATAGGTGGGAAATAAGCTGTAACTGTGACTATGCGGATCGTGGGGGGCAGGCTGTTGATACGCTTACTCGAGAGCTTAACCGGGGATTAATTTAGGCATACTTTTGAACAACGTAGGAAAAACACGAGAAAAGCGGTCTTCTCGAGGATCTTCTTGCGTTTAAGGGGACAAGTCCATAATATAGGTATACAATTCGCAATTCGCAATACGCTCAAATATGAAGTCTGATTAAAAAAGAAAAAAGACCAGCAGTAGATGCAGCCCGCCCATCCGAGATCCCCGCGCGTCAAAGCGTCACTGTGATCTCGTAATTAATAAAATATCCGATTATTATAAAAAATAATCATACTATGATATATCCTTCCCCCCTTTCCGTGAACAAGAGAAAAATCCTAAAGACATGATCTAACGTATTTTCGCAACTATAACCTTAGTTGCATCTCTCATTGCATTTCTTCGTCCCACCTCGTTCTGTTTTTTTTTTATTTTTCTTCTTTTTCTTAATTTTTTATATACGCGTTCGCGCGCGCGTTAGTTTGTAAAAGTACCGTTATAAGATGTATCTTAAGAAATCTTTCATATGATCTCGCGGAGGTATCGATTGTTAGGCGAATTCAGCGGCCGACGCCGTTCGTTTCTGCCCGTCCGCGTGCAAGAAACCTACTTCTCTCTCTCTCTCTCTCTCTCTCTCTCTCTCTCTCTCACTCACACACACACACACACACGCGCGCGCGCGCGCGCGCGCGTTTCGTTTTCGAATTTTTTTCTCTCTCAAATGGTTCATCAAAACGAACGGCATCGGGGCTCGATTGGCTGTACCTCAATTAGTTAAAAATAGAGTTAGTGATTAAAGAGAGATAAACATTAGATTCAACGCGAGGGAAGACGACGAGGGATAACGACGTTGTTGTAGCGATCTTATTCGAATAGGTTTATAACAACGAAAACTGTTTATCGCTGCGTTCGCACTCAGTAATCATCT